TGATTGTATAACTTCAATTTTATTTCCCAATTTACTTTATTTGTAAAAAGTATAAGTTGCGTTTTATCAACAGAAAATTTAAAACTCCATTTATAAGACCATTGCTCAATCTTATAAATTGCATTCTGTACCTTTTTAACAAGAAATTTTTCATTTTTTCCACGTTTCCATATAGCCCCATCATCAGCAAAAAGAGAGCAACCCATGTCATTCTCTATTTCCTCAAATATATCGTTAATCATAATTGAAAACAATAATGGACTGATAATACTACCTTGTGGAATACCATTATCAATATCAAAATTTTCTGATAAAGTCTGTCCAATCCTTACCTGTATTATCCGATCTACTAAAAAATCTTCAAGCCAATAATATAATCTGCCATTAATGCCAATATCCCTTAGTTTGAACATTAATCCTTCTTTCCACATCATGTCATAAGCTTTCTCTATATCTAAGAATACAGCCAGAACACTCTCTTTATTAACCTGAGCTTTTTTAATTTCATGTTGTAAACAAACGGCAGAGTCCATAGTGTTCCTTCCCCTTCTAAAACCACTTTGATATTTAGCCAAGGAACCCTTAGTTTCTATATAAAATGTTATTCTTTCATTTACCATTTTCTCCATAATCTTACACAAGCATGATGTTAATGCAATCGGTCTATAGTTTACAGGATTTGCACAATCCTTCCCTGGTTTTGGAACTGGTATTACTACAGCCTCTTTCCAGCTTTTAGGTAATTTCCCACATTCCCATATTTTATTATATATTTCCAACAATATTTCTTTTGAATACTCACTAAGTTTATTTATCATTACATATCCAATTTGATCTTTTCCTGGAGTTGACATTTTAACTTTCATTAATGCATATCTTAACTCAGAAATTGAAAAATACTTATTAATGATATTATTATTATTATCTTCTAAATTTATTGTCTTTTCTTTCCCTGATATGGTAGATTCTCTTCCCTTCCTCCACTCTTCACTAATGTTATTTGAACTATGGATATTTATAAATGCTTGAGCCAAAATTGTAGCTTTTTCCTCATTTGTTACTGCTATTATTTCATCTTTAAGTAAAACAGGATAATCATAATTCTTCTTTATACCATTCATTCTGTTTATCATCTTCCATAATTTCCCTATTTCTGTTTCCCTTCCCAAAGAGTTACAAAATTTCCTCCAATATTCTCTTTTTGTCTTCCTTATAACTCTTTTGACCATGGCTTGCAGCTTTTTATAATTGATTAGATTCTCAAAACTATGATTTCTTTTTAAAATTTTAAACGCTCTGTTTCTTGATTTAATAACCTGGTCACATTCTGTTGTCCACCATGGAACTATTTTCTTTCTTTTACTACATTTCTTTGGAACTGAGTTTTGTACAGCTTCTATAATAAAGTTACTAAACTGATTATTTATAGAATCTACATCTTTACTCATATCTATTTCCTTAATTTTATTTTCACTTACCATTTTATATCTCTCCCAATTCGCTCTACCAAAGGACCACTTCATCCTCTCCCCTGTATCATCCTCTTGCCTATTTAACCCTACTTCAATCATTATTGGAAAATGGTCACTTCCAATATTAGTTTCTTTAATTACATGCCATGAGCAGACCCCAACCAATGAATCAGAAACTAGAGTAAGATCAATGGCTGTTTCCGGACCAGTTCTGATATTAGATCTTGTCCCTTCCCCATTATTGATACAGACTAGATTTTTAGATTCCATTATTTCTTCTATGATTAATCCATTCCCATCAGTTTTGTGGCCCCATATTGAATTATGGGCATTAAAATCTCCACACCATATCGTTTTCCCATCTAGATGTAATGTTATGTCCTCCAATAAACTTAAAGTCAACTTTTTACAAGGATTGTAAAAATGTATTACTTTAAATCTATTTTCTTTTGACCATATTTCAACTGCTATGTATTCAAGATCTTTTCCTTTATTTAACACTCTATAAGGCAATCCCTGTTTTATGAATATCACACATCCTCCTCCAATACCCTCCTCCCTATCCCTCCGAATACTATTATATCCATAAATAATAAAATCTAGCATAGGTTTTAACCATGTTTCTTGAATACATATAATTTCAGGTTTTATTTTAATTTTTTGTATAAATCCTTTTAATTCCTGACCATTTGCAATTAGACTTCTAGCGTTCCATTGAAGTATTAGCATGTTGTTTTTCCACCCGTCTCTGCTTGTTTTCCATCTGCTTCAAGGTTTTGTTTGATTTGTTCCCACGAAATATTCCTTATTCCTAAAAAATTTTCATCCCCCTTCACAATGATTTTAATTTTTTTCTGTTTTTTGCTTAACCTGGTCAGTGCAGTTTATAACATAAGCAATGAACAAGATCAATTTGTCAAACTCTATTGAACTACTATTCTTATTTTGCTGTTCTGATTCTTGTCTCGCTGTTTGAATACTACCTCCAGTGTCCTGTTTTTTCTCTTGAACCTTCTTTACTGCTTCAGCATAGCTTAAATTATTTGTAGTTTTCACTTTCTGAATCTCTATTGCCCTCTTCCTACACTCACACCCTCCGTATGTCACCCTATGTTGTCCTCCACAATTACAGCATTTTTCCTGGACATTGTCTCCACATTCCTGAATCTTGTGCTCCCCACCACATTTTGAACATCTTTGTTTGCCCTTACACACAGCAGCTATATGCCCATACCTCTGACACTTGTAACACCGAAGTGGAGGTGGAACGTAAGGCCTGACTGGATAACTGATAAATCCTATCATAACTCTGACTGGTACGACTGGAGCAGAGATTTCCAGCATTACTGACAGGCTGTCAACTCTTTCATTGTTTACTGTTCTCTGTAGTCTTTTAATTCCTGTCACTTGTACGTTCTGAATGTTACGTTTTATTTTCTCTAAATCTTCATTTAGTGGAATGCCATAAATAACTCCTCATGTTACCTTGTTCTCCCCTAAGACTCTTTTATTTTCCACTCTTTTCTTGGATATGGTTTCAACCAACAACGCTTTTCTTTTTTGGTCTTCTGATTTACAAATTACAAGTAAATTGCCATCTCTTAAGGTTTTTGCCAATTCAACCTCCCCTATTTTCCTTTTGATTTCCTTGGATATTGTTATTGGGCTTAGAGTAATATGTTCATCTTCTTTTTTAAATTTTAAAATGATCTTGATTTCTTCTTTCATGATCTTTTTACGCATCCCACTATTCCCTTCATCTGAGCTATTTCCTTCCAGATATCTTTTATTTACTGAATTTCCATCCGCCTGATTATTATTGCTTTTCCCATTTCCCCGTTTAATTGTTGCAGGCGTCCAACTACCTATATCCATGTCACTATCTAAATCCTCCTCTTCTACCTCCTTAGCTGCCATCCTGATTCATTCACAAACCGGTTTATGCCAACCGTCAAAGTTTCCGACTTGAATTCTTCCAAGTTTCCTCCTTTGATCGTGATTTCCTCCAAGCCTTCGTCCAGTACAGTCGAACCCTGAGACTATCACAGAGCAGGTGCATTTATACGGAGACTTGATTACACACAGGTGGATTCTATTTAACATCATCAGTCATTTGAGACAACATTGGATCATTCATAGATCCTCACTGAACTTCTGGAGTGAGTTTGCTGCACTGAAAGTAAAGGGGCCCAATAATATTGCACGCCCCACTTTTCAGTTTTTTATTTGTTAAAAAAGTTTGACACATCCAATAAATTTCATTCCACTTCACGATTGTGTCCCACTTGTTGTTGATTCTTCACAAAAAATTAAAATTTTATATCTTTATGTTTGAAGCCTGAATTGTGGCAAAAGGTTGAAAAGTTCAAGGGGGCCGAATACTTTCACAAGGCACTGTATATATATAGATATATTTCAAACATACATTTTGTCCTGCCACTTGATAATATTATCCATCCATCCATCCATCCATTATCTTTACCCGCTTATTCCATTTTGGGTCACGGGGGTCGCTGGTGCCCTTGTCCAGCAATCACTGTGCGAGGGGCGGGGTACACCCTGGACGGGTCGCAAGTCCATCACAGGGACACATAGAGACAAACGAGACAAACAACCATTCACTCTCTCACTCACACCTAGAGACAATTTAGAGTTACCAATCAGCCTAACATGCATGTTTTTGGACTGTGGGAGGAAACCGGAGTACCCGGAGAAAACCCACGCATGCACGGAGAGAACATGCAAACTCCACCCAGAGGGCCCCTGGACCGGGGTTTGAACCAGGGACCTGCTCGCTGAGAGGCAGCAGCTCTACCAGTTGCGCCACCGTGCTGCCCTGATAATATTATAAGTTACTAAAATTTATTAGATTTCATTTAATATGATAGAGTGATGTTTGATTTTGCTGTAGGAACAAGTTAAAGCCTTTTGGTTTCTCAAATCAAACAACTTTTTGATGTGCACATTTCTCATAATGTGCAAAATGTAAACATTAGCAGAAAACAGCATTTTTGTTTCCTTTTGCATTTATTATTATTGATTCTATAATAATAATAAATAAAGCTGTGTGTCATGTTCTGAATGTGAAGTGAATCCAAGTGCAGACAGACGTGGGGATAAAATAAAGAATAACTATTTATTTCAGGAAAAACAAAAAGAAACCAAAGCTGTCATGGCAGCAACACATATATAACACTTGGGAGCAGGGAAATACAGAGGAAACAGAGCATGATGGTGGGAAGCATAATCCACAGACAACAAGGAAACACAAAGACACCTGCCTCTCACCTGGTGAGAGTGGGAGGAGCTGGAGCTGGCTACATGAGGGAAAACACTAGGAAGGCTGCAAAGATGACAAAATGAAACGGAACTAAAAACACAAGGATCTCAAAATCCAAACACTAAAACACAGATTCCCACACTGTGAAACAAACTATGGAACTTTGTTACCATTTGCCCTATAAGCAAATTGTCCAAAATATATTTAAATTTGTTAATTTGTAAACTGTATTAAAACTCTGTGTTTAGGTGTTTAAAATGTGCCGACGCTCCGTGCCAGAAAAGCTGCCCGACTAATCTGGACATCAAGTCATTTATTACAAGTATCGCTAACAAGGTAAAGTAAAGCACATGTTGCATTGAACATGCTAGAACTAGAACCCCAAGACTTTTTTCAACATGTGTTGAAGAAGTGAAGACAAATAAAGCAGTAAAGTAGAAAAAAGTGACGCATGTATGATCCTTTCTCACATCTCCATGTGTTTATACCTGTAACAGAACTACTATGGAGCAGCACGGGTCATTCTGTCCGACAACCCTCTGGGACTGACCTGTGGGATGGTTTGTCCCACGTCAGAGCTCTGCGTCGGGGGCTGCAACCTGTACGCCTCTGAAGAGGGACCCATTAACATCGGAGGCCTGCAGCAGTTTGCTACGGAGGTGCACAACATGTCGACTGGCAGCTGTTCACAAAACAGCTTTGATGATTTACACACAGCTGCTGTCACGTCATCATATTTGTGTGAATGTTTATGAAGCATTCACTCTATTGTGATCCATTTGTCTTCCGTACATTTTTCAGCATCTTTCTCGTCCCACGATTCTTGGGCTATTTCAACAAATCTTAAATCAAAATGTTCAGCTCTTTCAGGACAATCCTGCTATGGCTTTTGGTATTGGTGCAACTGAACAGAGCTCATTTTACATCCTTTAAATCTTTAGATAAGTTTACAACCTTTTATTGTTTCTTTCACATTTTGTTCCGGTTCAGCTTATTTCAGCTTCTTTCTGCAAATTTAAACTTTTTTCAGCTGTTTTCAGCTAATTTTAGCTGTTTTATTCAGCTGTTTTGTGCTCCTTTCAGATTTTTTTCTGCTAATTACATTTTTGTGTTTCTTTAACGTCTTTCTGCTAATTTCAGCTTGTTCTGCTCCTTTCAGCTTATTTCTGAAAATTTCAGCTATTTTCTATTGTTTCAGCACTAGCTGTTTTATGCTAATTTAAGCTTTTTCAGCTAATGCCACTTTTTTTTGGCACTCATTTCATTTTTTTCAGCCTAATTGAGCAAAAATGTGCTCTCCACTTTCTTCTTATAAATTCTGCTTTTTTCTGCCTTTTTAGCTCTTTTTCAGCTGTTTTTGCTCATTTCTGCTTCTTTCAGCAAACAGCTGTTATTTCTGCTTTCTTCTGCTAATTTAAGATTGTTCTACTTTTTCAGCTATATTTTTAGATAATTTCAGCTGTTTTCAGATAAATTCAATTTTTTGTGGTAGTTTCTGCTACTTTCAGCCTAATTAACTTCATTATGCTAATTTGAGCTCGTTATTCTCCGTTCAGCTTTTTTCCTGCTAGTTTCAGCTTTTTCTGCTCTTTCAGCTACTATTTAGCCGTTTTATATTAATTTTAGCATTTTCTGGTAATTCCACTTTTTAAATTTTTTTTTTAGCTCATTTCAGTTCTTTCCACTTCCTTCTGGTAGTTTAAGCTTCTTTCTGCATTTTCAGCTGCTGGTAGTTTTCATCTTTTTTTTTTTTTTTTTTTTTACTAATTTCAGACCTTTTTTTTTTTACCAGTTTTCTATTTTTTGTGCTAATTTCTGCTTATTTAAATGTAATTCAGCAAATATGTGTTATTTCTGCTTTATTCTACTAATGCTGGCTTGTTCTTCCATTCCAGCTACATTTCAGCATGCTTCATAGTTAATTTCTGCTGTTTTTCAGCAAGTTCTTCTGCAATAAGCATTCACACTGCATTTTCGCAGGAAATGCAATTTCTCTAGTTAATTTCAAAGATGGTCACTTTTGTCATTTATTGATGACCGATGACCAAAAACATTACCTGGACTTCTAAAAAAGTTAAATCTGGTCCTCTGGACATTCGAAAAAAACAAAACAACAAAAAAATGTAGAAACGTTTCGTCTCTCGTCCGAGAGACTTCTTCAGTCTGAGGTGCTGTATTCAGCTCAGTCTCTTAAATAGCACCTTCTCAGAGTGGATCAACCAGTTTGCTGCTGACAACCAAAACCAGCTGATCACATGCTCAAGAAGGACCATCAGCCTAACAATGGATCATTAGCACACTGATGGCTGTTTACTGTTCACAGAGGGCTGAGTGATACTAGCAATCACAGCATTGTAAGAGGGGGACAGTTGAACCCGGAGGCCTCCACCCCTGTTTAACGATGGACGATTTCTTTTCACAAAGATGGCCTCCTTTACTCCTCTCTCAAACCATCGTTCCTCTCTATCCAGGATGTGAACATCTTCATCCCTGAAAGAGTGACCGCTGGCCTGGAGATGAGTGTAGACCGCAGAGTCCTGGCCTGATGATGTTGATCTTCTGTGCTGGTCCATCCTTTTGGCCAGTGGCTGTTTTGTTTCCCCGATGTAAGACTGATCACAGCCCTCCTGACACTGAACAGCATACACAACATTACTCTGTTTGTGCCGGGGGACTGGATCTTTGGGATGA